TTAAAGCATTTAATTTTAAAATTTATTAAACCCGTTTCCATTATCATTATTATATGTATTAAATTCTTCAAAAGAATTACATAAACTAGAGTTTTCACTATCTGAATTTAGATTATTATTAATAGAGTAGTTTGTATAATTTGAAATAATATCAAAGTTATTTCTTTATTCATCTTTTTATTATTATTAAATATTTTTTTATTTTTTTAAGAATTATTATGATTATTTAGCTTAATTTTTTTCTTTTTTATTAATTAAAATTATTAATAATATTACTATGTTTAATATTACTATTGCTAATATTTTAATTTATAGAATTTTTATCTTTATTTTATTTTAATATATATTCAATTACTTTTTCTATTTATTAATGATTATTTATATCCAAATGTTTTCCTTATTCTTCTAATATTTTATCAAAGCGAACATTTAAATTATCTAACTTCTTTTTCATACAAGAATTCCAGTGATTTTTTATAGTATTATCAGTTCTTCCTGGCAATTCTAAAGATATTTCTTTCCATTTATTCCCTCTTAATTTATGACTCAAATATAGTATCCATTCTTCATCTTCTTTCCAAGGTTATTTATTTATTTCAGGATTTAAATGATTATGCCATCGTTCTCTACATTATTTTCCGATTCTTCCAGGTATATGTTTTGCTATAAATCCCCAATTAAATGGTCCATATTATTTCACTAAATTCAATATTGTCTAATTTTCATATTCTGTCCAAGGAATTTTTTAGCTTTACTTTGTTGTTTTAACATGAAACTCTCGGTTTCAGTTGAGTTTGTATTAAAGTCTCTACTATTTTAGCATTTAGTTAAAAAATTTTGTTATTATTTCATTTTTTTATCTATAATTTAAATTAAAATCTGTTAATTATTAATATTTATTATTTATTCAAAATATTAATTATTTGTTAATTTTTTTGTTTTGTTTTGTTTTTTTTTTTAATAATATTTATTTTGAAAATCTATATAAATATACTATTATAAAGAGAAAAAATTAAAATAAAATAAAACCTTAGAAAAATTAAAAATAAATTAAATAGATAAAACACACATAAAAAAAGAAAACGAAATAAATATAAAGTAAATAAATTTCAAAAGATGAATTGCATATTTTGTCCATAAAAAAACTAATAAAATAAAAAATTTAATATAAAATAAAATATAAATAAAGCATTATTTTCAAAATATAGTGCCTCATAGAATTATTATTATACAAAATTAATTAACGACTAAATATTCAATATAAAAACTTCGACAACAATAAAGTTTAAATATTTAGATTAAAATTATGAAAACGAACAATTTCTTAAAAGATTTTATTGTTAAAAAGAATATAAAGGCAAAATATAAATGCTCGTAGAATATTATAAGTATCACAAAGATATTTCTCGCTTATTTATGCTCCCAATAACAAAAACATTAAACAAATTTCATGATAAGAAGAGAAAATTAGATTATATAAGAATAACCAATTTATTAAATATACCTTAAAAACAAACAAAAAATAAATAATAAAATATAGAATAAACAATTTAAGAAAAATATCTAGCCCCTTTAGACGAAATCGATGATACTAGAACTGTTTTTAGTAATACGATACAAGATATAAACTATAAATTAAATGATGTATTTATTAACGGATAAAACTATTATTAATAATCTTATTTTGTTGATATAGATAATAACTCTAGTCTTGAAAATTTAAATAAATTTTTAAATTATATGAAAGTTTAGTAAGAAAATTAAATAGAATAATAAAATAAATTAGTGATGTATTAAAGTTAAGATAATAATAATATTTTGTCAAACAACTAAGTCTTTTAATAATTTTATAATTAGAATAACACTTAAAAATATAAACAAGTTAAAATATAAAATAATAATGATAATGATAATAATAAAAATAATAATAATAATAATAAAAATAATAATAATAATAATAATAATAATAATAATATAATGTATAAATCGTTAAAATAAATAAAAATTAAAAAAATATTGAAAATATAAAAAATCATCATTGTTAAAATTAAAATTTAATAACCGAATTAATTTAATCTTAAAGAAATACTAAAAATAATTCGTAAGAAAGAAATTTTAATAATTATTTACAATAAAAAGCTACTTCTATTATTTAAAATAAAAATATTTAATTAAGTTAAAAAGAAAACTTAGTAATTTAATAATAATAATAATAATAATATTATAGCAAATAATAAGGCTAACAATAATAAAGTGCATAAATCTTAAATAATTAAAATTAATATGTATATCATTAAAATAATCATAATATTAAATAAAATATAAATAGAAATGATAACTTATTAATTATAAACAAATAAAATGAATTTCTATAAAGACAGGCTTCTTAAATACTTAATTAAAAGTCTATAAATGAAATGTATGATTTTATTAAAATTTCAAATACAGAAAGAGTAGCTAATTAATAGTATGGCATTAATCTTTAAAAAAATATAGATGAATTTAAAAAAAAATTCTTTTTAGAAAAGTAAAATAAAATAATATAAAAGGCAATTAATAATAATAATGATAAAATGTAATAAAATAAAACATATATTTAAAAAAATAAAGGTATTAATGATATAAAACATATAGAAAAATACAAAGTAGATATTAAATAATCATAATAATTTAAATCTCCTTAATAATAATGCTTTAAAAGTGCAAGTAATTAATTTTAAGATATTAACAAGATAAGGAATAATAGCAATATTATTAATTATGATTAAAAAAATTATGGGTTATTAACTCATTCTAGTATTTAAACTAGATAAAATAGTCTAACTAAAAATAATTTTACGCCTTAATAATAAAGCTTACAATTAATAAATGTACTTTAATAATCCGAATAAAACTTTGATTTAAAGAGAAATAATAATTAATTAAATTCTAACGATAATAGTGTAAGTAAATATATGATATAAATGAAATATAAAAATGCTATTTAAAATAGTATTTTAATTAAATAAAAAAACTTAGAAAATAAGAAATAAGTAAAATCTTTATAAAAAAAGAATAAAATATTAGTAAAATACAAATCAAAAATATAATAATTATTATATTTTATTTTTAAGTAAAAAAGAATGATATTTATGATTTATACGTTGAAAATTAAAAATTAATAAGTAAAGACAATATGAATTCTTAATTTTAAAATAATATTTTAAAATAATTCTAAAATAATAAAAATAAATAACCATTAAATTCTGAAAGAAACATATTATAAAAAGATGCTTTTGTAAAAAGTATTAACCATAATAGAATAAGTTCTTTAAATAATTTAGTTTATAGTAATAATTAGTAATTTAATATAAAAAAAATTCTTTATTTTATATACAATTTTTCTTAAATAGATTATAATTAAATTAACAAATTGATTATATTTAATAATATAAGGTAAATCATGATTACTAAAAAAATAGACGAGTGAAATAAACAGTAATTAACATATAAAAACTGAATATGACAATTTCTTATAAAGGAATAATTACTCTTAACATATGAATGTTAAAAATAATTAAAATTATTAAAATTAGAATCTTTAAAATATTAAAAACAATATTCAAAATAAATTATATATTTAGGAAAATATAAAAATTATAAGTCCAAACTATAGTTAATAATATTTTATAAACTAAAGTAATAATAATTTCACAAGAAATGAAAATAATAGCTAGTACACATTCAAAAATAGTCCATTAAAAAATATTTATTTAAATAATCCATAATTAATTTAAAATTCATATAATTAATTATATTAAGTATAAATATGAGACAAAAAAAAATTTTTATAAACTATTAAAAAATATATCTGATATGTATTATTTTTATTTATATTTATATCTCTATTTTATATATTATTTTTTTTGAAAAATATTTATTTAATAAACATTTTAAGAATAAAAATTTATAAATTTAAAATAAAAAATTATGACATGTTATTATTAATATATAAAATATAAAAAAAATATATTTAATAAACAATTTTTACAAAACTATCAAATAATGAATAAATATATTAATAAATAATCTTATTAATTAAATAAGAAATAAATAATACATATCTAAAAATAAAAAAAGTTTATATAATTAAAAAAACAAAAATAAAAAAGAAGAAAAGATATATTTGCTTAAGTATTTTAGGTTAAATTGAAATTGTATGATAAATAAATGAAAATAAGGAATTAATTATTTTCAATTTTATAAAGATTTTTTTGCAATTTTTAATGGAAAAGTAGGGATATAATATTATATATTTTCATATATTTTAGATTAATAACATTAAATTAAATATTAAATTATTATACAAAAAAAAAAAAAAATATCTTTAAAAAAATATCAAAAAAAAATAATTATAATATAATAAAAAAAATTATATTTAAAAATATAATGTTTAATATTAGTAATAATATGATATATATTATATCAAATAAAATTTAATAATATGAATAAAAGATAAATTAAATACAGAAAAATTTTAAAAATATAATATATAATTATTTCATATGAAAATATAATAAAAAAAAAATAGACAATATAAAATTTTTATTTATGGATATAGTTAATCGCGCAATATATAAATATAAATATATATATATATATATATATATTTATATATTTATATATTTATATTTTTTTATTTATTTAAAAATTATTATAAAATTTTTAAATTATTTTATTTATTAAAAACTATATATCTCTTTTTTTGTAATAATTATTTATAAAATTAATTAATATAATATTTTTTATTAAATGTTATAAATAATTTTTTTTTTTTTTTAAATAAAATAATAAAAATTATCAATAAAATTAAATTTAAATACAAATGATTATTAAAAGTTATTAAAAAGTATAATTTTTATTTAATTTCATAAAATAAAATGAGTAAAAAATAAATATATAGAACAATAAAGGAATTAGGAAGAGGCTCATATGGAGTTGTATATAAAGTTTAAAACATAGAAAATTAATTAGAATATGTAATGAAAAAAATTGATGTAAAGGAAATGTCTCTTAAAAATAAAAAGTAAGTATTAAAAGAACCTTAAATCTTATAAAAACTTAAACACCCAAATATAATTAAATATATTGATTCTTTTATTGAATCTCATTATTTATATATAATTATGGAATATGCAGAAGGAGGGGATCTTTAAAAAGTTTTATATTAATAATTTTTATAATATTTATTACTTATTTAAATTTAATATAAAATATATATAACTTTAGTTAATAAAAAATAGGAGATTACACAAATTGTATTTTTAAGAAAATTAAATTTGGAAATATGCATACGATTTAATAAAAGCAGTTTAATATTTGCATTAAAAAAATATAATTCATAGAGACATTAAAACTCTAAATATATTTCTTACAAAAGATAATCTAATAAAAGTAATTTTTTATTTTGTCTTTAAATAAATTTTATATAAACATATAAGTTAGGTGATTTAGGAGTATCGAAAATCGTATAAACAGAATAAGCTATATAGTGTTCAAGAGTAGGAACTCCTTTATATTTGTCACCTGAATAAATTTAATAATAGCCATATGATTATAAAGTAATTCTTATTTGTTAAATAATTATTATTTTAAACTATATTAAAGATAGATATTTGGGCAATAGGAGTGGCTTTGTATCATGTTTCTTGTTTCGAAACTCCTTTTTCTGGGGATAATTTGATTGCTTTAGGTTATAATATTGTTAATAATTAACCTAAACCTTTACCTAATATATATTCATAAGAATTAAGTAATTTTATTGGAAAAATAATTGAAAAAGATCCTTTGAAAAGGCCAAGTGCATAATAACTGGTTGAATATTTGGAAAAAAATGTACAATTTTTAAAAGACTAAAATAAAATTCAGCATTTAGTTGGAAAAAATGATATAAAAATAGAGGAAAATTAATTAAGTAATAACGATTTAAAAAATAAGGAAAAATTAGACAAAAGCATTGAAAAAAATGACGAAAAAATCTAACTTAAAAATGAAATTTCAAATTAATTAAAAAGCCAAAGCGAAAATAATAAAAAAATAAAAAAAAGTTTATTCAAGTGAAAAAAAAATAACTTAAAAATAAGATTTAGATAATAGTTAAATTTCCAGTAAAATATAATATTATGAAATAAGTAGAAAAAAGTTGGAGTTATTTTAATAATTTAATTAAGTTGGATAGTAAGATGAAATAATAAAAAATAATAATCTAAAAGATGTAAATAATAATACTATTTCTTAAAGTGTTAACGAAATTTAAATGAATAATAATATTATTTAAAAATCTTTTTAAAATTAAACATTAGTTTAAGAATTAAGTATATTAAAAAATACATAAAAGGAACAAACATAAATCAAAGAAAAAGAATATCCATAAATAAAATAAAAAGAAGAAACGTAATAGCAATAATATGAATAAAATTATAATCAAAGTATAATAAATTTATAATAATAATAAAAAATAGAATTTTAAGTTGAAAACTTTATATAAATTTAACAAAACTAAATAGAATAGTAGAAACAATAATAATAATATATAAAGCCACAAAATCCTTTAACAGCATATTTTGATATTAATAAATGTTTAAATAATAACAATAAATATAGAGATAATTTTTAAAATATTAAAAAAAGGCCATTTTCAGCATATTTAAGGCAAAGCTTATTAAAAAAAGATTTAATTTAATAAAATTATATAAGTATAGAAAAATAAAATGAGAAAAATTAAAATGAAAATAATATAAAATAATTAAATTAAAATAATTAAATAAATGTTTAATAATAAGAAAAAAATAATGAATAAAACGGTAATAAAGAAAAGGATAATAAATTTATTATAAGTAGATCTTAACTTAATATTAATTAATAACATAGACCTATATCAGCTTTTGTTTTGAAAAAAAATTAGATCTAAGTAAATAAAGTTAAAATTCATTTAAAAATAATATTATTAACTTTAGTATTTAATAAAATGCATTTAATAACCCTTTTTAGAAAAATATTTAAAATATCAGTAATTAATTTAAAAACAAAAGTGCATAAGAATAAAATAGTAAAATTAATTTAGATTAATTCTTCTTTAAAATTGATAATGATAAAATATAACAAAGATAAAATTAAAAATACAATAACTATATATAAAGAAATGAATTTAATATAAATAAAATTAATTAAAGTAATAATTCATAAGAATAGAATACGATTTTTTAATAAAAAAAATAATAAAAATTTAATAATATTAATCTGAAAAATTCAATAAAAAATAAATTATTCTAAAATAAATATAATATACAAGATTTTTGTGTTTGATATAATTAATATAAATATAAATATAAATATAAATATAAATATAAATATAATATAAATATAAATATAAATTTATTATTAAAAAATTTTTCTTATTATATTATTATATAAAAAAATTTTATTTTAATAAAAAAATTTACTAATTTTTCTTAAATAAATTTTATATTAATATATATAATTATATATAATTTGCATTTTTTATAAGTTTTTTTTCATTAAATATATTTAGAGTTTTAAAAATATTATCATATTTCTTCTTTAACTTATTTTTCATAAAGATGTTACCATTTCTTTTGTATTTCTTACATACTTTTAGTTAAAAATTCTAATCTTTTATTCATTTTATTTTGTTCCTTATCTGTAATCCCACTTTTTCATTATTTTTTTATTTTACAAATTTTTTTATTTATTTTTAAATACTTTTATTATGAATTTTACATCTTTAAACTTATTTCTTCTACTTCATTCTTTATTTTTTTCATTTACGAATAATCATCTTCTAATTATTATTACATTTAAAGAATTTATTCTTAATCTAATTATTCGTTATTTATACCATCAACTATTATAATAGACAATGCTATTAAAAATACTACTTAAAGTCTTTTTTTTACAAATTTTAGGAAAATAAATTTTAAAAAAAAATTACAAAAATGATTTCATTATTTTTAAATAAATCAATAATATTTATAATTTTATTATAATTTATAATAAAGTTATATTAATAAATAAATAATTAAATAATAAAAATAAAATTTAATTCATTATAAAAAATTATAAAATTCTTATATTTAATCTACTAATATACGTTCATTTATTAAAATATTTTTAATTTAAAACAATTTTATTAAAATCTTATTAATCTTTATTATATTTAATTTAATTATCTGATTAAGGTTTATATTGCCTTTAAGCATTATAATTATAACCTTGTCTATTAATAATATTTTAAATTAGCTAATCTTATTCAATAGTATAAGTATTTCTTTTCTCATTTTAAACATCTTTTTCTTTTTTTCTTTAAGAATTCTTTAAACTAAATTGTCTATATCATTGTCATTTTAATATTTAAAATTATTAGTTTTTTCTTAATTTTCTGTTTAGAATTATGTTTATTAATATACTGGAAGATTTCCTTATTTTATTTGATTATTATAAAAACTATTTTTATATTTAATGTAATCTATTTAATTGACAATATTTATATTGTTTTTATCTTCTTTAAGTATATTTTATTGATTTTATTAAAAATTTAAGTTTTCTATTATTTTTACTTAATTGTTTTCTTTATTTTTTTTGAATAAATTGAATAATCTCTTATTGAATCTTATCTTTTATTTAAAAAGTAAATATTTTATTAGTTTTAGCCTATAAAAGATTCACTTTAGTTAGTCTTTTCATTAATAAGTTATATATTTAGACTGTTTTTGTTAAATATTTAAATTTATTCTTATATTATATTTAAAAGTTCGACTCTTTTATTTTCAAATGATTATTTTAAGTTTTAGATTGTACATACTTCATTTAAATTATTCAAATATTTTATTTAATTTATTTTAACTCTTTTTGTTTAGAATTCATTCTCGTTTTATGAATCTTTCTAAAAATTAAAATCTATATCCGGGTTTGTATTAGAATCAGTTGTTTCTTCTATTTTTAAACTACAAGAATGCTTAAAAATGTTTTTATTTTCTTGCATTATTATTAAATTACTTGCATATTCGAAGATTTGAAATATTTAGATATCTTTTTAGTCCAGAGTTTGCTTGAATTAGTTCCACTCTTTTTAAATTAAATCCTTTTGATCAGTAATTACACATAAAACCTTTTCGAAAAATAATTTAAATGATTCTATTAGTAATAATTAGTTATTTAAATCAAAAAATTTAGACATATTTTTATAAAAATGTTTTTTTAAATATTATAATTTAAATTTTATAATTTTTCTTTTTTTTGTTATAAAATAAAAATAAATTATTTTAATTTTTATTTAAATTTCATTTTAGTATAAAAAGTTATTTTAATATTTTTTTTTTTTCTATTTCTTTTTTTTTAACAAAATTAATTTTTATCATATTCTTTTTCTTATCTATATAACTTTTTTAATTAAATTAATTTAAAAGTTTCAGAAAATAATATAAATTTTACTAATATAATTGTAATTTTTTAATGTCGTTAAAAAAATAAATAAGTAAATTAATTTTATTTTTTTATATATATATTTAAAAATTTTTCTTTATATTATTTTATATGGTATTTTTATATAATTATATCATTTTTCTTCTACTTTATTTTTTATTTATTACTAAATATTATTTATTTCTTATTATAATTTTAAAATTTCATTATCTTTATGATCATTAATTTTTTTAACTATAATAAAATAAAATAAAAAATGAAATATATGTTTTACATTTAAATATTTATTAATCTTTATCTTCGATTACTTTTTTTAATTTATCAACTTTTTCTATATCGAATTTATCTGTATTATAGTTATTTTAAATGTTTTATTTTTCATTAAAATCATCTTCTAAAGAATTAAAAATTTAAGGATTTTCATTTATTGTTAACATAAAAAGATTATTTTAATATTAATTTTATAATTAGATAATTTTTTGATTTTATAAATTAATTTTTTACTCATATTAATTTATTTTTTTATCATATGTATTTTATATTATTTTTAGAGACTTTTCCATTTAAACATTTTATTTCTAAAAATTTAATTCAAAATTTTAACATTATTAAATAAGAATTTTATTTTTATTTATTTATTATTCTAATTCTTTTTTTTTTTAATTTAACTATTTTTAATTTTAATCATAATTTAATTTTAATTATAATTTAATTTTTATTTATTTAAATTTTATTTTATTTAAAATAAAAAAAAAAATTACTTCGTTTTATAACATTTTATATTCTTATTCTTATTATATAATTATTCCTTATATCTTTTCTTGTTTCTTTTTCTACTATTCAGTTTCTAATTAATTTTATCGGTTTATTATTTATTCGTTTTATATTTAAAGCATTTAAACCTTAGAAAAATATTATTTTTAATATATATTTTTTTAACTATATTTACTTATTCTGTACTATTATAATCAGTTATAAAATTATAATTTTATTCAGTTCTTATTTTTTATTATGTATTGTTATTAGGTAAATAAATTTATTATGTATTAATTCAATTTATTTTATAAACTTATCCCTTTATTTTTGTAAAATCTTTATCAAGTTTTAAATTTAATTCATTTATTTTATTCATTACTTCATTTTTGCGGCTATAATATTATATTTAATCGATTGTTTTTTAAGCTTTAAAAAATAAATTTTATTAAGGATTATTATCCTTAATATTATAACTTTATGATAACTAATTTGGCTAAGAATACATTTTTTTAATAATATCTCCTTAAAAATTATTATTAGCTGTTTTTAGATTAATATAAATATAAATATAAAAATAAATATATATAATATATATATATATATATATTATAAATATATATATTATCATTTATTGATATTATCTTTTCTACTTTTGTTTTTTATTGTACTAAAAAAATCTTTTTCATAACTTTTTAATTTTTAATAATCATACATTTTTAAAGTATTTTTTAAATGCGAATTTAAAATTTTTTTTTTTTCTTTTGTTTCTATTAATATGTTTAATATTTTATTTGTATATTTATATTTTAATTGATAATACCTGACTATGTATTTAAAGTTTTATATGATTTTATATAATCTAAATTTTTTTAATACATTTTTATTTTTATTAATTAATAAATAAAAGAAAAATATATTTTCTTGTTAATTATTCACAAAAAAAAAATGAATTAATTTTTTATATTTAAAAAATAAACATTAATAAATAGTATATTATAATAAAATAAATAAATTCTTAAGCGTTTAATTTATTATATTTAATTATTTAGTTATGTTTTAATCTATATTTGGATTTACTTAAGTGCAAAATTTAATGATTTTTCCATTATATCAGTTTTGCATGTTCTCGTAAATTTGCACATATTATAAACCAATTTTTTTTTTATATATATTCTGAAAAAAAAATTATCTATAAAGCTCTTGGTTATTCAAAATCAATATTTTGAAACAAAAACTTATCTTTATGAATCAATGTATTGGTAAAAGTGATAAAGCTTTTAATATATATTTTTAAAGAAAATCGGTATGAAAATTAGGATCATAATTCATTGGAGAACTCCCATTTTCCTTTTACATTCATAAGTTTATCTATAAAATATTTTAAACTCAAATCAAAGAACAATTAATTGGAATCTAATCAAAATTTTGTCCCAATCTAGTAAGAAAAATTTCTCGTTTCATCATTAGTAAGTTTGATATTTATTTAAAACAAAAGAACAATTTTTGTAAAAGTATAGTGTCTATAAAACCATATTTTAGTATTATTGGGCCTATAATATCTATAGTTGTTCATCTTTTTCCAAAATTAGTTACAAATTAGTATTTAAAAAAGAATAATTCACCATTTATTGTTTATGCATCTAAATTCATGAGCGTTAAAACCATTTAAATATCTATATTTATCAAAATTCCTCTTTCTAAAAATAAAAAAATATATTTTGTATACTTTGAAGAAAAAAGCTTACTCAAGACATATTAAGATCTCTAACATTAGTTTAGTATCTTTTTAATAGATATACTGCATATGGGAATTTCTTAAATCTTTAATAAAGAGCTAAGGGGTATTATTATATACTATGTTACATATAACCTCTAATATGTATATTTTTAAAGAAATTCAAGTAAAATAACAGTATATATATAATCATGATTCTAATAAATTAGTAAATTAAAGAAAAAAAAAATGATTTATATAGTACATATTAATTTAAGAATTTAAACATAATATATTTTGCAAGTTTAAATGTAAATTTTAGGTATAAGATATAACTGTTATTTTAATGGGCAAAAATAAATGATAAATTACTAAAGAAATAATAATTATTCGAAAAGAGATATTAGATATAATTAAATAATATTTAAGTGATTTAATATTATAGGATACAATTAAAGAATAGATTTTTAATATTAATTTATTTTAATTTTAAATTTAAAATTTATATAATATTTAAATATTTATAAAAAAAATAAGTAAATAATGTAAATGAGTAAATAAATTAAATATTTTTTAATTTTATATATATATATATATATATATATATTTTTTTTTATATATTTATTATATATTTATATGTATTTATATATTTATTAAATTTGTTTTTTATTTTTATTTTTCAATTTTTTTTTTTTAAATTTACATAATTTTTTATATATTAATATAATTGAGTTACTTTTATTTATTATTTTTATTTTATAATGATTTTTTAATATTTAATTTTATAATTATTTCTTTTTATTATATATATCTTTTAATTTTAACATATATAATTTATTAATATTATTTTATTTCTAAAATATATATTTTATTTAAATATATATTTATAAATAAATTATAAATTTTTATCAAAAAATAAAAAATTGTTTTAATGATAAAAATGATTCAAATAGTTTTAAAAAAAGACACATATAAAAAAATTATAATATTAATAATATTTAAATATTATATAAATAAAAAAATCAAATTTCTTATGTATTATAACATCCACAATGTATACATTTTATTGCAATAATATTAAAATCAGTATTAAGTGATTTTTTTAGACATTGATTACATAATATATTAGTTTTTTTATCTTTTAATTATTTTTTTAATTAATCCTCCATTTTTTCATATATTTCTTTTATATAATTATCTATATATTCTATTTCTTCCTTTGTTTATTATGATATGCATACATTACAAACTGGACAATTATTTTTTTTGGACGAATGAAGGTATTATGAAAGACAATGCACGTGAATAAAATGCGCACAATTATTCAATTATTAAAATGATTTAACTGAATTCTTCAAATTTTCCATACAAACAGGACAAGTAGAATCAGAGCCATCCTAAGTACATTTATGTGTATCTAAAATAGCCTTAGGGAGGCACACATTGCATTTTTGGCAGTGAAAATTGTCTTCTTTTATTCCTATGCGGCACATTTTGCAAAATTCGCAATGATATATATTCTTCTTAGGATCGCTATCAAAAAATTTACAATTATCACAGTAATATTTGCCAAGTACGTGTTAGCAGTTTTCACATATTTATTGCGGTTTTTATTCAAATTTACACTTATTGCATCTCACTAAGGATATATTGTGTCTGTCCATTACTTCAACTAAGCAACCTGGTCCTTTAGGGCCGTTGTATAACTCATTATGGCATAAACGACAACCGTACCAGAGTTTACAACATGGAGATTGGATTGAACAGCCACGTAAATAATGTTTACATGGACGATTTTCATTGTATTCAATATCCATTTTGATTTTTTATTTTTTTTTTTATTATTAAAGAAATTATTATTATTTTTATATTAGATTTATAATTTTCTATTTTCTATATTTTTCCTTTTTTATTTTTACTGAAAATTATTTTGTTTTAAATATTTTTTATAAAAATTAATAAATATTTAAAAAATGTAATTATAATAAAAATATTCCAAATAAATTTAAACTTTATAATATGAATGTTTTACTCTAAATATAACTTTTATAAATAAATTTAGTATTTTTTATAAAATAGATTCTTTAATTAATAAATCAAAGGATTTAAATAAATTCAGTAATTTTAGTTTCACTAATTCCTAATTTAAAAAGCTAAGTTCTTAATTAAATCATTAATTATTCCTATAATTCACCAAAATTAAATACATTTTGATTATCTTCTACTTAATTTACCCAAGGTAAAAAAATATTATCTATATATATTATATTTTATAAATTTATAAATAAGAAATAATAGTTACCTTTATTATCCATATAATTTTTTAAACTAATAAGTTTTCCTAAAATAACTCCGGCATCAAAAAGATCTTATTAAAACTATTAATCTTTATGAATAATTATTCCTAAACACCTATTTTTTTTTTATTTTATTTTATAAATAAAATAGTAAAAAACTTCAAAGAATAAGATATTAAGGACGTGTCTCTTAAAATTATCATTTAATGAATTTCGTTTGCATAAACTTTTTATTTTTCAATCATTTTTTAATTTAATTTTTCTTATATAATCATTCCCTTACTTATATTTTCTTCTATTAATGAAAAATATTTTGGTATTTCTAAATATCCTAACCTTGAACTTAAATAAGACCTTTATTATATAAATTAAAAAACCTTACAAAAAGTATTTCTCAAAAATATTATTTTTTTAAAATAAATTGCATTAATAATAAATATATAGTATATATATTATTTACGCTTTAACATGGAAAAAATCGCCTGAAAGTATAAGTTTTTTATTACTCAAAACTTTTTACAAAAATAATCTTAGAATGAAATTTTAATAACTTAACATATTAGTAAAATCTTATTCAAATATTTTATTTTATTTTTTTTATAAAAAAAGAATAACTTGATAATGAAGAGTGAAGATAAACAGCTAAATTAATATTTTCAGTACATACAGCTAAGTCTATTAATTTTTAACTATATTATATATCTTATTAGTTTGTTATTAACTTTGATAATTAAATTATTATTGCTGCATATTAGAACTTTTAAGGATATCTTAATATACTATATAATAACCTTAGTGGACGTGCATTTATTGGTATCTTTGAGTTTAAAATTATATTTTAAAGATTGTAATTAATAAAATTATATATATATTTATTTTATTACTTAAGAAATAAGCTTTTATTAAATTTATTTAATTTCAATAGAATTTTTTTAAGGATAAAATCTCTTTATTTAATAATGTTTTAGTTTTTTTTTTAATTTTTTTACTAATTTTGAAATAATCTTAAACATATTTTCTTTTTACTATATAATTTATATTTATTTTATATATATATATATATAAATATAATTTTATTTCTTTTTAATATTATTAAAATATAATTTATTTACTTTTATTATTAAGAAAAAATATTTTTTATATTTTTTTATTTTATTCTGAAAATTTTTTGAAAATTGTTTTTTTAATCTTTTTCATTTTTAATTAAAATAATAATAATTTTATTTTAATCTATTAAAAAAATATATAAATAATTCAATTAATTATAAAATATATTAATTTATATATATTGAAAAAAAAAATTTTATTAAAATAAAAAAAACAGCACTTTACTTTAAAATAGTCAAAAAAACAAATGGGAAACATTTGTAGATGTCAATGTAATAAATAAAATAAAACAAAATAAAAAAAAGAATAAATATTAAAAAATTTAATCAAAATAAATATATTTTTAATAAAAATAAAACTAAAAAACCTTAAATATTAATAAAATAAAAAGAATAAACATATTAAGATAATGAAAAATTAGAATTATAAATAGATATGATGAGTACAACAGATAGAAAAGTAAATAAAAAAAAAGAATTTAAGCCAAAAAATAATAGTAAAAACAGACTAGCGATGAATTAATATTATAAAAATCTAACTTTTAACTCCAAAAAGAATAAAGCATAGAAGACTTTAAATTTAACGGTTATGAAAATAGACAGAACAAATATAAATTAACACTTCAGAAACATATATAATCTTCCCGAATTCAAAATATTTTAAAAGATTCCACTGATGATTTTAATATATTATTTTAATAAATATGTGCAGCATCCTAAGAAATAAATTTTAAATTATAATAAAAAACCATCAAAAATGAAAATAGTTTATTTTAAAATGATTGTGCTTAAATTTTCGAGGATAATTTAACTGATTCGAATTTATGTTGTATATTATACTGCCGTAACCGAGATAAATTAATAAAGCTAAACCCACAATAAAAATATATTGTTTTTTATAACGCATTAGATAATAAAGAATGTCCGGAAATAAACAGCGGAAGCCTATTTTCCATATATAAGCGAATAACAACAAAATATCGCCCTTTATCGGAAAAAGAAGATATCCTATAGAATTGTAATAATATGATAGGTTGTGGATATATAATATATGGATAATCTTTATAAATATTATTAACTATAAATAGCGATGTAAATTGCTTTACGTACGATCCTATTAATAAAGAGTTTGTTTTGAGTCACGCAAAAATAAAGGCAGCGTCCAAATCAAATATATTTTCAATAGACAGTTCAAAAGAATAATATTGGGAACCTACCATTCGTATTTTTTTGAATAGAAAACATGCTAAAAAAGATAAAAATATTTATTAAAGATAAACTGGGTCTCTGATTTGTGATGCTCATAGGACATTACTATACGGAGGCATCCTTATGAATCCTTTATGTATTGTTAACGGAGAATATAAATTAGATGTTAGTATTATTGATGCATTTGTTATCGGGTATATTTTTGAAAAAGCCTGGGGAAGAGCCAGTTATGGGGAAGGAGGAAGCATAATGTAAATTAAAATGGGAAGCTTGTAGTAGAAAATATAGTTCTTTTGTGGTTCAGCATCAGAAATTGTCGAGTTAGAAAATTTGTATTTAAGTATTGCGAGAAGATAAAGTTTAAATAAATCACAACTTAACTTAAAGTTTCCGACTCTTAATAGTATTGCAATGATATAGTCATAAGAATAATCTAATAGTAGTATTAAATGGTGATTAATAAAATGATAAACTTGTTTTTATTTTACTATTATTATTATATATTATATATAAATAATGTAAAGAATAATATTTTTAGATATTATTTAAATATTTTTGATATAATTTATAAATATTTACATATTATATAAAAATATTTTTTTTTTTATTTTTTTTTTTTCATGAATAAATTTAATTTAATATGAAAATGATATTAAAACGTATGAAAATTATATCTTTTCAAAATTATTTAATTTTATAATTTACTTATATCGAATAAATTTTTTAATAGTGTATTATATTTAAATTTTATTTTGAAAAATATTTGCTTTTTTTTATATTATATAAATTAGAAATTTTTACTTCATATTAAGAATTATATTATTACTGAATATACCTTAAATTTATATGTAATAATAACATTCGAATTTGTTAATTTTAACTCACTCTTTATTAATTCGAAAAATTTTAAAGTTAAGTAAGAACATATAAACTTTTCTTAGTGGATAATATAGGAGAATAAAAAAATACGAAAAATATAAATAATATATAGATTATTCTTAGACTTTTTTATTTAATTTTAAGTATTTATATTATTTTATGTATTTATTATTTATGAAATTTATACATTTTAATTATTTATTGGAGTTAGCCCTAATTGAGCAATAATTGTTTAGGATTTTTATAAATTGCTTGAATTTTATATTATACTTTTTGGCGCAATGGAACATTATTAAATGTAAATAAATGATTATGGTTTTTTAAATATTAAATTTTATTTTTCAAATGGACACATATATATTTATTTATATTTTTGTTTTTTTTTAAAAAAATAAAAATAAATATATTACATATTTTTTTTTTTTTTTTTTTCATAAATAAATATTGATATTTTAGAAGTTTAAATTAACGAGTTTCTGTAAAATATTTATTTTTTTAAAAATAAATTCATGTTTTTCTGTCTTATAAAGTTTTCATATCTTAAAAAGTTACAATTCTTCCATTAGAATTTCCCTAAGAAACTGAACTAAAGTTTTTCGAAAAAGAAAGATTGTTATTTTTGACAAAATAAATCTAATTTTCTTTTTTTTCTTATTTTCCTTAATTTTCAATAAATTAAAGAATTTATTGTGTTTGATTTTCATTTAGGCCATAATAAAATGAAACTTTTAAAATTAAACTCCTTGTTTGAAATTTAGTTTATTTAAATTTTAGCATATTCAAACTTAAAGTAGCTAGGTTCGAATAAATTAAATTTTAATAAAAGAATTCTGTTTGGTATGCATTTTCGGGATTTTTGGAAATTTCGTCTTTTATTTATTTATATATTAAGCATTCCCAGATATCATTGTTTTGCCAAATTTTATGATTTTTTATTCTTTCTTAGATATATATTTTTTCATCATTTTTTTTCTTGTAAATTGAAAAAGTTAAAGGTAGAAAATTTAATACTTATTATATGTCTTTGTTTTTGTTTATTTCATCTAAGTATTTAAAGCATTATATTATTAATTAATTATTTTATATTATATTTAATGCGCATTTACCGGATTATCTAAAAGTTTCTAAAAATATCATAAATGTTACTTGATTTTTTAATTTTGAATAATCTGTTATTTCTTTTTCTTTTATTTAATTTTCTTCTATTTCTTCATTTTCTTGCTTTATTTATTATTTTTCTTCTTATGTTTTTGATTGTTCATTTTTTTCTTCAATATAAAACTATTCTTATTAAATAAATGATTATTAAAGTTAAATTAATGAATCTTCTAGATTTTAAAAATTATTTTAAGCCAAAATAACATTTTAAACTAAAAAGGTACAAAAATTCTAAACTTCTATATCAGGAATAAGTTACAGTTCATTTTAATCAAATGAATTATTAATCATAGAATTTAAAAAAAAATTCTAATTTAATTTTTTATATTTTAATCCAAACAAGATTCAGTTTTTTTAATTTTTTCTAAAGCAAATATTTCTTCTTCGTAATAATCTTTAATATCAGCGACACTGTGCGCAATTTATAAAGCAAAAAAACTAAAAAAGTTTTCGAAAATTCCATTTTAAATATTTAAAAATTTGTTTTTTTTAATTTAATTATCTTCCAATTAATATTTTTCTTTTATATTTTCTTCATTTTTTTCATTAAAATTTTATATTAATTAATTAAGATCATACTCGAAATTTTTTTCTTAAAATATTTCAAAAGCTATTACTTTTTTAATAAAATCATTCAAAATGGTTTTCTTTTATTTATCTTACAAAATCATAATTTAAAAAACACATTAATATTCATTATTGCAGTTTTTTATTTGATTTTCGTATTTATTCATTTCACTTTTCAAAAGAAGCTCGTTTTCAGCTTTTTATGTTAAAATCTTCTTTATTTTTTCTATTATTCCTTTCTTTTTTCTATCCATTTTTTACACTGTTATTTTTTTTGGATATCAACTTCTATTAATTCATGTATAAGACAATGCTCTTCCAACTCTTTTTTTAATTAAATATTTTTTTATTTTAAATTTTCAATTAAGTTTTCCATATTTTTGAGATTTTTCTCCTCTTTTTTTATTTATTCGAATTTTTCGTTGCTTTGAGTTTATATTTGAACTGTTTTTATTGTTAAATCTTCTAGTTCGCATTTTAATTATTTGATAAAATTTTATTTATGGCATAGTTTTTAGGAATTTTTAACTTTTAGTATTGATATTTAGTGAATATATGTATTTTCTTCTTTAAATGTATTATATTGTAATTATATTTTTTGCATTTAAGTTGTGTATTTTTCTTCCACTTCTAATTATTCGGCAATTATTTTAATTATTTATTCTAATGTTTTTATTTCTAATTGAGATTTTTAAAAGATTTTTACAAATTCTTTTGGAATATTATCCATATTTATTTGATTTAGAAATATAAAAGAATATTTTAAGAAATAATATTAATATGTAATTTTTTTTTCTTTTATAAATATTAAAATTAATAAAGTATTTCTATTTATAAAAAAATTAGATTTTTTTTTAAAAAAAGAATGTTTATTACATTAGCATTATCAAGTATTTTTATTTCAGCATCTTAAATTTTATAAAGAAATCCAAAATATATTCATACTCCTTACAAATGGAAAAATAAAAAACTTGAAGAAGCAATAATAGGAAAAAAAATATAGTTAATTTCACACAGAGGAGGTTCTTATGAAAATTTCGAAAATACATAAAAAGCATTCTAAGATTGTGTAAAATATTTTAATAAAATAAAAAAATTTAAAAAATCAACAGGTAGAAAAATCAAAAACGGATATAATTGAGATTGATGTTCATTTAACTAAAGATAAAAAAATAGTAATTCTACATGATAATTACCTTTAAAGATTATGTGGTATTGATGAATTTGTTGAAAATGTTAATTTTGATTAAATTAAATATAAAAAATAGATTGAAACAAATTTTTCTACAAATAATATTTTGAAAGTAGGATATTAACCTTAACCTATGTTATTAGAAGTTATATATATATATATATATATATATATATATATATATATATATATATATATATATTTATTTATTTTTTATTAAAAAAATTATTAGGATCTTTTTATATATTATCCTAATTAAATAATTAATTTAGAAATGAAAACATTAAAAGATGAAATAATAGATGAAGTAGAAAAATTAATAATAAAATATAAAAGAGAATATATAACGGTAAACAAAATAAAAATAAATATTTAATATAAACAAAGTAATGGGGAAGTTTTGATTATAAATTTGCAAAAAAAATAATGGAAAAAAATAAGGAAATACCTCGTTTTTTTTCAAGATAAGAATATATAAAAATCTACTTTAGTTATATTTTTGGAATCTTACCTTTTTTAAATTTAAAAGCATAAATATTTTAAGTTCCTTTTTATACATTAGAATATTATGAGTGGAAAAAAAAGGAAGCCCAGAATAGTAATTTGAACACATTAATGGTTAATATTGTATTCACATATTTAAAATTCTTTAATAGTATTTAAAAAGGAATTAATTAGCATTTAAATAAAAGAGGTATTTTAGTATACTATTGGGTACTTAATGATGAAAAATATTTTCAATAAGCTCTATAAACTAAACCAAATGGAATTATAACTGATTGTCCTACTAAATTAAGAAAATTTTTAAATAAATTAAACTGAAAATATTATATATATTTTATTATATATAATTTTAATTTATATTATATATTTAATATATATAAATATAGTTTTTAAAATTAATAAATTAATTTTTTGGAAGAAAATTAATAATCTTCTAATTTCTTCAAAAATAAAAAAATGAAATAGTTTAATAAAATACCATTTCCTCCACCAACTTAAAATCATAATTAAATTATAAATCAATAAAATAATATATTTTTAAAAACTTAAATATTATATCCTAAAACCATAAATAATGAAAAAGCAGTCAAGAGTCTAAATTAAACATATTATAATCAAAGTATATATAATTAATAATAAAAAAATACTCTAAAATAGATAGTATGTAAAAAAAATTAATTTTGTAAAAAAAGGCAATTCATTAGAAAATATTCAAAGAAACACGAAACTAATTGAAAGAAATAATGAAAAATTTAAAAAAGATAAAGAAAATATTTTTAAAACAAAAGAGCAAAGTCTTTTATTTTCGCCAAACAAATTTAAAAACACAGATTAAGAAGAAAAAATCAAATATAAAACATTAGAGAATTTTAAAAAATAAATAAAAGAAAAATATGAATTTTAAATATAAGAAATTATATAAAAAAACTCACAAACACAAACGTAAAAAAAGAAAAATTAAATATAAAAAATAAAAAAAGAATTTTAAAAACTTTATAATAATAACCTTAAAAAAACTTCCAAAAAAATTAAATTTTAGAAGAATTAGAAAAAATTGATGAAGAATAATAAAAAATCTTCAAAGAAATTTAAAGAATTAAAGAACTTTTAATATAAGCATTATAAAAAGAAGAAATTAATGTACGCATTTCCAATTTGAAAAATAGCCCAGTGAATTCTCATGTTACGCTTTTTGAAAATTAATTAATGCATTTTAAAGCAGTTTTAGATAGTAAATTAGACAAATAATAATTAGATGAGGTTATCTAAGCCTTTAAAAATTCAAAACAAATTTAATAAAAATTCTTTAGTTTAAAATAATAAATAGATAAAATATAAACTTAAGTAGAAAATCAAAATGCAGAATTAGAAATAAAAGTTAAAAAATTCTAAAATAGTATTCATAATTCTATTAAAAATTTGCAAAGTAAATAAAATTTAATAAAAACTAATGAAAAAGAGCAATAAAAAACGATTGAATATTAAAAAAAATTAATATTAAATTTAAATATTGAATACAAAAATTTAAAAAAAGAAGTAAGTATGTGTTCATAAGAAAAATTATAAGAAAACTTATAAGAATAAAATCTTAAAATTTAAGAATAGATAAGCGCAAATTAAACTGGATAGGAACAAAATACATTAGAAATTAAATAAAATATTGATTTTTTGTAAAAAAAAATAGTTGCTTTTGAGAATAATTTAAATTAAGAATGCTAAAATTTACTTTTTTAGATAAATTAAACACATCTTTAGTAATAAAAGTATATTTAAAATTAATAAAATAATTAAAATTTGCTATTATAAAAAAAAGATTATATTATGGTATTTATATTATTTTAATTTTGTAATGTTTTTTTATTTTTTTTAGTATTAAAAAGATGAAAAAAATAATGAAAATTTTAATTATAATTATTTTAAAAAAGATAGAAATTTAATTTTAGACAAAAATTGAAATAGTATAAAAATTATGTTTAATTAAATTTCAAAAAGTTCAGAATAATATATTAAAATATTAACTTATATAAATTTATTATTTAAATAAGAATTTAATTAAAATCGTAATTTATAAAAACATTATCTTTAAAAAACAAAATACATATGTTTCCTTTATTATATTATAATGAGATTTTCATAATTAAAATACTCATTAGCAAATAAAAATCTTTAATCCGATAGGAAAATCTGATTTATTTACAAAGCTTTCATCTTTTTTTCTTAAGTTTAAATCTATCTTTTTATCAAATATATAAATAAAATAAAAAATAATAATAAAATACACTATTAGAAACAATCAATTAAATATTTTAATTTAAAAGTACAATAAAAGAAGATTATATAAACAATTATTCAGTAAGTTTACAATTATATATAACGTTATCATATTTATAATATTTACATCCAAATTTAATTCCAAAGCCTTAATCTCTAGATTTTCTAGATAACTAAATGCCTAAATCAACTTTATTTTGTAACTTTTAATAAAGACAATATTTAACAACATAATCAGTATCTTTATCTAAGGGTTTACTATTTGAACTAAAAAAAAATTTATCATAAAATAAATAATTGAAATAAATATTTAATTATATTTTACTAATGAAGACTCATTGTTGCATTTTAATTAATATTCCATATTACAGCCTTTATATTGGATAAAATTTATTTTCTAAAATCATAATCAATGGCAACTCCTGTTCCAAAAAAATTACTATTTTCATTTTTTTCATCTCTGTCATATAGAGCTTTTCCTTTTATTTAAGTTATATAATTATCTAAATCGAATTTTATTTTGAAAGCGAAACTATTAAAGTTTTTGTAAAAACCGATTTGAGGATATATTTGTTTGTTTAAAGTATTAGAGTTTATTTTTCCAAAAATACAATAATCTTTAAAAGAATTCTTTTATTTTTTGTTTGATTAATTAATTATTTTTTTAAAAAACAATTTTTTTTTTTTTTTTAAATAAAAATGAAAAAAAAAAATTCAAATAAATAAAATTTTTTAGAAGAAATTAATAATTTTTTATCTTACAAATTAAAGTGTTTTATCTACTCTTAAAGTAAAATTTCTATTAACATCTACATTCACATCAACTTAGAGATCTTTTTCTTTACAATAATTTAAATCCAAGAATCCATTATTAATTATATTAGGTTAGCCATTATTAAATATTTTTTAAGTAATCAAAGATTTACATGTCTAAAAATTAAAAAATTAATAAAAAACTAAAATCTGATTTTTTATATATTTTACCATTGTATTGGATATTCTGTTTTTGAATTCAATAGTATTAAAATATTTATGAACATAACTATATTTCATTACATCTTAAATTATTTAAAATCTTAAAAATATAATTTTTTTCTTAAATAATTAATACCATTAAAATTATCTAAAATTTATTTAAAACTTGATGTGAATTAAGATTTTTTGTCTATCATTTTTTTTGCTTTTTATTTTCTTTTTTTATAATTATTATATTTAGATTTCTTTTTATTTTCAATTTTTTTTTATAAATATAAATAAAATAAAAATTTCAAATAAAAAAATGTTTATTTTATTTTTTATTTATAAAAAAAAGAAAAATTATAACTTATGCTTAAAACCAATTTTTTTTCTTAGTTATTTACTTATTAAATAATTTATTTATATATTTATGCTTATAATTATTTTAATAATTTTTATTAATTTTATAAAGTTTTATTTGCATATAATTAATAAAGCATTGATTAAATGAATTCTAAATTAAGAGCATAAACTGCTAAACCCCTGAAATAATATTCTTAAGCTTAAATAGTAGCAAAACAGTATACTAGTAATTAAAATATGTTAATATAAATTAAAAATAATAATAAAATAAGTAAAATAGAAAAATGAAGACTAAAAATCTAAAAAAAATAATAATATTGAGTAATGCATTGATATATTAAAAAAAGCAATCAAAAAGTAAAATAAATAAAAATTTATTTATTGTTTACATATTTCGAAAAATATTATATAATAAAGTGGTATTAAATAATCAGAGAAAAATCAATATATTTCTTTGCTCCCTTCTAAAAAAAGCATATAAGCATAATAAAATCGTAGTATTTCTACAAAAAAATGTAAACTAATTTATTTTCATTTATTAATCGATAAAAAAAAGCTATAAATAATTCTAATATTTTAATATTTTCTCATTTTGAAAAGCAATTAAAGCTTGAAGAAAAAAAATAAAAGTATATAAACCTCTTAAATAGAAATATAAAAAAAAATCAATAGAATATAATGTTTATATATAAATTGAAAATAAAATAATCAATATATAAAAATTTAAAATAGTATAAAATCGGAAAGGGAAACAATTCTGAATTAGTATTAAATGTAATGAAAACAAGAAAAAACTGGTCTTAATAATAATAAGCAGGATAAGAATGTAAATTTATATGGCAAAGTGTTAGTTCATAAATTAAATTTTAACAAATTAATAATACTTTTGTAAATCATTTCGAATTTCATAAATAAATTACAACAAAAAATAACTTAATAAAAAATTTAGAAAGTTTTGCAAAATTTAATTCTTTATATATATATGATATAACCCCTTTAACATATTGCATAAATCCAGAAAGTTCTTAATTTTAATAAGTTTTTGAAGAATTTTTAAATTTGTATTAATCCAAATCAAGTATTAAAATATAATATATATATTAATTTATATTTTTAACAAAAAATAGATATAAATCCTTCTGAATATCAATATATTGAATAAATCACATCTTTAATACAAAATTATGGGCATAAAGCATTTCCTTTTTCACAAAAACACGAAAGTTCATAAAAAATAGGATATTGCTAACCAAAATATCCATAAAGCTTATTTTCAGGAAAAAATGTTTGGATTATAAAACCTGCAGATTTCAATAGAGGATGCGGAATTAAGCTTTTTAGTAGTTTGAAATAACTCATAAATATTCTTTTAGCAGATAATAAGAAATACTTGGAAAGATAGTTCATTATATAAAAATATATAGAATAGCCTTTGCTTATAAATGAAAGAAAATTCGATTTAAGAATATGGGTGATGTTAACTGATATTAGAAAAAAAGAAGACAGAAATAATTTTTAATTATATATTTTTAAAGAAGGTTATATTAGAACTTCGAGTGAAAAATTTGATATTTCGAGCGAAAAATTGAATGATTTAATTATTCATTTAACCAATAATGCCATATAAAAAACAGATTAAAGATATTAAAAATTTGAATAAGGAAATTAACTTTCTTATGATTAGTTAGATTAAAATCTTAAAATTAATTTTAGATAAAATATTATGCCGAAAATTAAAGAGATCATCTCATTTACTATCGATAGTGTAAAAAATAAGATTAATTTTAATAATAGGATTAATTCCTTTGAGATTTTCGGTTATGATTTTGTTATTGATAAATACTTTAATCCATGGCTTATTGAAATTAATACAAATCCTTGTATTGAAGAATCTAGTTCGCTTTTAAAATAATTAATTCCTAGAATGTTGGGTATTTTATTATATTTATTTTTCTTTATTTTATTTTATATTAGATGATGCTTTTAAAATTGCCATAGATCCCTATTTTTGTGGAAAAAAATTAGAAGATGGCAAACAATATTTTAAAGTTAAGAAATATAAAGATGATGAAAATATGTGGTATTTTTTTATTAATTATTATTTCTTTATTAAAAAAATTAAAATTAAAAGGGAATTGTAATAGAATTTAATAACATATCCTTTGTTAAAATATAAAAAATAAAATAATTTTTGATAAAATTATTAATAATTTATTTCTATCGTAAAATTAATAATTAGATGTTTATAATCTAATAAATTAATTAATTGATATAATATTCCAAGATTATTTATTATAAATATTACTTTATTTTGTTATATTTTTTTATTCAAATTATTAATAAAAAATAAATTATATAATTTTATATATTTTATAAATAATAACTTTTATCTATAAAATTTTTACAAATTTAAATAGAATTTTTATGTATTTTTATTTTAATTACTAAATTAATTTTTTTTTTAAATAATACCTAAATAATGATAATTTTAATGAATATATAATTTTATATTACATTTTTGCTTTTTATTACTATAAAAATATATTTACATTAGCATTTTTTATTTTAGTAAAAATAAAAATATTTCAAAGCGAATACTAGAGAGATAATAAATTATATATTCAAATCTTAAATAAATCCATCATTAAATATTTTAAAATTAATTATAGAATTTGAAAAAAAATGCATAATATATATTTATTTAATCTAAACAAAATATTATAATATAAATTTTTATTTTTTTATTTATTTATTTTGTTAATATTTAATATTATTAAATTTATGTAAATAATATATATATATATATATATATTTATCTAAATAATTAAAAAATGGAATTTCTGTTTAAAACTAAAAACCTTAAAATTCGATAACAAAACATGCATGATTTAAACTTTTGAAGAATAAAAAAATTCTTAAAATACCTAATTAATATATAAGTAAAAATATATTAATTTTAAAATACATACAATAAAAAGATAGTCTGGCAGATGTAGTATAAAAAATGGATACAAAAACAGAAAACTCGGCTTAGGTTAAAGATAAAAATATAATAAAAATATTAAAAAGAATTAAATAAAAACAACAAATAAATATTCGGATGGTAATTATTGAATTTGCAAAAACTATTAGAAGATGCTAAATCTTTAAAAGAAATTATCGTAAACAGTGCTTTATTAAGTTAAGTATTAAAACAATTGACATTGCATTGCATAAATAATTAATTATTTTTTTATATCTAGACACTATTAAGGGATAAAACAAAACTAAAATTTGACTTCAATAAATTTTTAAAGATTTTGAGTTTATAAAAAAAGAAGATTAGATAAATCTTTGAAAATAACTCTTCTATTATTTCGAATTATTTTATTTTAGTATGAAGGAAAATAAAGGATTTTAATTGTAGAATTCGTTACTCTTTCAATTTTCTAATATTACTTTGCTGAAAAGTATTTATTATATTGTTCTTTGAAAGAAAGTCAAGTTCTTTTAATTATTTATTATATTAGATATAGTTAATTATAAAATAATTGATATATTAATATATTTAGTTTGCCGAAAATTATTAAGATTGAGAAAGTTTAGAAGTAAATGGAATATTTAATAAATTTTAACTAAGAAGAATTCGCTTAATAAATAAAAAAAGAATATTAATACAATGAAAGACCTGTACTTTAATTTTAAGAAAACTATGAGATGCTTTCTGAAACTAAAAATTAAATTAATTTCCAAAAAAAACAGATTTTGATGAATATTTTTTTTGAAAGGAGAATTTTTTGATAATTTTGTAAGTATACAAAAGGAAAAGAGGTTAGTAATAAATTTTTTATTATTATTGTGAATTATTTTTTAATAATTCTAAAGAATAAAATGAGTTGGATATGTTTATAAAGAATAGTTTGCATGACATAAATTCGAAGAATTGGGAGTTTACTTTTACAAATAAAACGTAAAGTAATATTTAATTTTTTAAAAGTTATATGTGCAATCGTTATATGTTTATAAAATAAAGAAGGAGTAAACATATATTATGCAAATTAGAAAAATTATAAAGTTATTTAAAAATTAATAAAGATTAAATATTTAAAGAAAACAAAAATCTTTTTTAGTTTTTATTATATATATAACATATTTTTATTATCCTTTTTTTATTATTATTTGATTCTTTTATACTATTAGTACTATTAATATTTTTTTACATTTATATATATCAACAATATTTTTAGTTTATATTTATACATTATAATATTCTTTAATATATTTTAATTTCAGTAATATTAATAATAAAAGTTAATTAAATAAATAAAATTTCTTATTAATGTTTTAAAAAATATTAAATTAACTTAAAATACATATTAAAAAAAATAGTTTAAATTAAAAATAAAAAAATAATGAAAAAAGTCTTTAAATCAAAGGCTTATAAAGATAAGCTAAAAGGACATTAAGATGGAGTAATAAAAATGTATGCTCCATACGGTCCTGAATCAGGCTTACTTTTATCTGTTTCAAAAGATGGCTGCATTCGAGGTAAAAAGAAATATAAACAAATAAACAAAAAATATTTTTTTAAAAAAAATATAAAAAGCTTGGGATTTAATAGAAAGAAAAATAACAACAAAATTACATGTAAATAGGGAAGGAAATGATCCATCTGTAATAAGTTAGAATTAAAATGAAAATGAAGGTTAATAATCAAATGATGAGTCAAATGATTAAGCAATAAAGGAAGATTAATAGAAGAAAATTAAAGAAGTTTTTATTTTTAAAAAATAATATAAAAAAGTTAATTAAAATATTATATTAAAATTTAGAATAAAAATATCGATTAATTCAGTGCTGCATGCTTTAGTGAAAATTCTATATATGGAGGCTTCGAAGACGGTCTTATTTGCTCTTGGAATATAAAATCAGGAGAACTTACATCTTTATATAAAGGTCATTCTAAATAAATTACTTAATTAGAATTTTTGAATTCCAGATTGTTAGTTAGTTCATCTTTAGATGAATCAATCAGAGTATGGGATACAATGGTTACTATTTTATTTATTTTTAATACAAAAAAGTTTGATTTTTTATATAAAATAGAGTGGATAAAATGAAACAATATTTGTATTAGGAGGTGCTGTAAGTTAATTAAAGATATAGTCAAAATATATAGAAGCAATTATAAATAAAGATACATTTATTCAAATAAATTCAGATGTAAAAATTATTTTACTTTTTTATTTTTTAAATATTCATAGAATTAATAAATATAATATAATATAAAATTCACATCTACAATAATTACATGCTTTGTAACTTATAAAACGTAATTGATTATATCTAATATAAATAATATTATTGAAATATATGATTTGTAATAATCTGAATCAAATAATCTTTAACCTTTATTTATTGTAGAAAATAACATTGATTGGATTTAATGCATGAAAGTTTTTAATAATCTATTATATACTGCTGGAGATGATAATAAAATAAAAGTTTGGGATTTGGAAAAAAAATGTAAAAATATATTTAAATTAAATAATATATATTTAATAATAATAAAATAGTCGCTTTAGTTGAGGATTTTGTTGGGCATGAAGATTGTGTTGTCTGCTTAGAGTTTGCTGATAATATGCTTTATAGTGGATCATTTGATCACTCAATTAGATCTTGGAATTTGAAAGAAATGGAAAATAGGATTAGGGAACGGTCAATTATTTTTAAAGAAGACATTTGGAGTAGAAAGTATGAAGCTTGGTATAAAATTATGTATAAAAAAAAAAAAAAAGGTAAAAAGGGTAAAAAGAAATGATAACATATTATTTATGTTTAAACTATTTTATTTATATATTGATTGATTTTAAAATTTTTGAAATAAATTAAAATATTTAAAATTCCGCAAATTTTAATATTATAAAAATATTTAAAAAATTATAAATAATTAAAATTTACATATATTTTTATTACAATAATCATAAAATATACATCTTTTTTTTGAAGTAAATTTAAATTTTGAAAATATTAAATAAATAAAGTTTTTATTTTTTTACTACAAAATTATAAATAATTAAAAAATATATAATTTAAAAGAAATAATTATTTATTGAAAAAAAAGTTTTTATAATAAAATTAAATACTAATACACTCTTTTATATTTTATTCCAAATATTATTTTTTACCTATATTAAATTATTATAGTATTCTAATTTTTACTTATATAATCATATCTTTAAATATTTATAAATTATATCATCTAGTTTATTTAATTACATAATAAATGATATTTATACCATATAGTTCTTGTAATTAAAACTTAATACTATTCAAAACTCCTCTTCTTAAATAAATTAATATACAGTGAAGTTTATACTATTTCCTTCATTAGTTATAATTAAAAGACTATCAATATGCACTTTATATGTATATATTTATATATTATTTTTTTTGATTATTATAATTATAAAATTAATTTATTTATGCAATTATTTATATTTATATAATTAAAATAAAATTATATAATAAATTTTATTATTAATATTATTTTTTTTTTTTAATAATCTATTATTTTATATTGAATATTTTTTTATTTACTTTTTATTATAATGTGAAATTAATTTATCTCAAATTTATTTTCTTATATAACATTTTTGATTTAAAAATTCTTTATGTTATTTTAATAAAATAAAATTTAGTTAATTTAAATTCCATATAAAAAAACTATTGATATAAAAAAAAACTAAATTTTCAATATATTTTAATTTGTTTATTAAATAATCTTTAAAATAATAAATAAGATTATCACAATAAATAATAAAAATAAAATTAAACACTTAAAAAGAATAAATATAATATAAAATTTTCATAAAATACATATATACTATCTTATATTGCTTTTCTATTTTTTTAAAAAATACAAAATACCAATAATAATAAAAAAAAATATATATATTAAAAAAATAACGAAAAATAAAAAAATTAAAATCATCAAAAATAAGATTAGTTAAATAAAGAAAAATGTCAGATTAACCTTTTTCTTAGTCCGAAATTTAAAATGCTTAAGTATATTTAGAATAATTTGTTAATTTTTTATAAAATAATTATCATAATTAAGATTTGTAAAATAATAAAGCATTAATAGAATTAAAGTAATAATTAAATTCAAATTAATGCAGTTAAATATCTGACTAAAATTTACTTTTCGTTAAATTATTTAGTGATTAGAAAATTAAAGATGAAGAATTCGATGAATTATTTAAAAAGGTCAGTGATTTAGAAAACAAAGTAAATAAAACAAAAGTAAAATTAACTCAAAGTAATTTAAATGAAGATTTATTGAAATAAATAAGCAAGCTTAACGAAAAAGTTAAAGTCTTAGAGTAAGAGCAAGAAGAAGGCTTTTAAAATTTCAAAGGCTTTTTCAAAGAATTGCTTGTTATTATTATTTTAACAGCATTTTTTAGTTTATTGAAGCACTGTATTTCATTAATATGAAAAAATAAATAAATAAAAAAAAACTTTAAATATAAATTTTATTAGATTTCATAAAAAATTTATTAATATTAAAATAATGTATAATTTCCAAAAAATAATATAATTTATAAAAAAAAAATTCAAAATTATTATTAATATCTTTAGATTGGACTTTAAGTAACATATTAAATATTTTAACCAACAGGTCTATTACTTTATCTAACATCTTAATTAAAAACTGCTCTTTTAACATTTTCATTAGGTTATTACATCATTTCATATCCTTATTATTAATAAGTACCTCTTTAATAAGCTGGGATAACATTAGTACTCATGAAAGGAGCATCAGGGATTTTAATTCTTTTAAGAATTAATAATAAGATAATAATAGCGGCCAAAGCAAGTAAACATCCAAGGATAATGAAAGGAATTCTATAACTATTATTAAGTGCGAGTCCTCCTACTGATGTATTAACATGATATTTATCGTAAATTGTTACTTAACCATTTTTTTAATCAAATAAAGTATAATATTTTTTTAAAAAGGTAGTACCGAGATAAAAAGTATTTTATTTTTAAGGATTGCTTTTTTATATAATATATTAAAATAAATAAAAAAAAAATACTCAATGAAAACGAATAATAATTCATAATTTTCATCTAATTCTTCAATATAATCTTCAGGTTTTAATGTTAAATTTTAAGTTTTTCCATCCAAATCAACAACTTAGAATGTAATATTTTCATAATCATCCCATTTAAATTAGTCTTTAGGGCATCTAAATGAATATATTTAAGGGGTAGTGGTCTTAAAACATTTTGTAAAGGCGTTCATAAAGTAATTATAATTTGAAATTTTCTTTGCTTCATCACCTTTTATAAAAGGTACATATATATATTTTGTTGTACTATCAAAATAAGCTCTTAATTATTATCCTTTTAAATCTATGTCTTTTTCATTTTGTTTTAATCCTGACAAAAGTACTGACCAGCCTTTTTAATTCGAATATGCATCTAATTTTAAAGAAAATCCTTTAGAATCAGGTTATATGAAGTATTTTTCGGGTTTTCCTATTACTAATTATGCTATCTCTTCATGAGCATATATTGAAAATGTGTTTTCTTCTACTAATTCCTCCTTTTCAGAAAATTTATCAAAGATGTTTTCGACTGATTTATCATAAGCAAGTCCCAAACCTACGTGAGCAACATCTTTTAGAACTTAATAATACTAAGATAAGCTTGCATATGCTTCATTAGGGAAATACAAATTTAACGTTTGCACTTTAAAATTATCAATTTCAATTTTTTTAGGTAATTCTTAACCGCCTATTTTTTTTTAAAAAAAAAATAATTAATTTTTTTAATTTTTAAAATAATTTTATATAATATTTTTATAATTTTTTTGTATTTATAAATATTTTTTTATTTAAATTAACATTTAAAATTTTTTTATTAACTTACTTTTTTTTATTTTTAAATAAGAAATTCAAATATATTTTTAATATGTTTTTTTATAAAATATGCATATTTTATTTACCTTTTAATTACGCTTTGCCACCTTCGGCATATTAAAAATCCAAAATTGACTTTGCTCCTTCTCCATTACAATATCCACTACAATCAATACCTTCTGGACATAAAATAGTATCTAATTTATTTGTAGATTTATTGTTTTATTTAGTTTCTTTAGTAATTACATAATTTTTAGTTGCTAATGTATCAAAAACTACAGACTATTCAATTGTTGCTTTTGTTGCTCCTACATCTTTTAATTTTATAGTTGAATATAATACAGTATCAACATATTGTTAATTATTTTTATCTTAGACATATACATCTTTCTATTTTAAAGGGATAGATTTAGATGCGAAACTAAATTATATTAACAAAAGTGAGAATATTATTATTTTATGCATTTCTTTTTCTTTTCTTTTTTATTTATTTTTTATTTTACAATTTTGCTTTTAATATAATATTTGTTTTATTTTTTTAAGAACAAAGAAATTTTTATTTTTATTTTTTTTTCTTTCTTTTCTTTAAAAAATTTTTTATTTGCTTTTATTTAAAAAATATATATCTAAATACATTATTTAATTTTATTTTTTTGCTTTTATAAACATTAACTTAAAAAGTATATTTTATTTCCATATTTTAATCATTTAAAATTTTAACAAATAAATTGTATACTAAAAAAATAAAACATACAATTTTTAAATTTTAAATTAAAAAAAAAATCATCATTTGTATTCAAATAAAAATGAAATACTATTTAAAAATTTATATGTAATTAATAATAATATATAAATAAAAATTTATTTTTAAATTTTAATTAATATTTTCTTTTTATTTTTAAGTTATATTATAAAAAGTCAAATCAATTTGTTTGTTTAATTATATAAAAATATTTTTTTAAAAAGTTGTTATTTTGATAATTATATACTAATGAAGCTATTTTTTTTTAATAAAATATAAAATAATAAAACTTCCTTAATAATATAATTCTTTAAATTACATAATTAAAAAATAAAGTGAATTTTAATTTAAATATATTATATAAAATATATATAATATAAATTAAAAAAAATATTTAAATAATAAATAAAAATAATAATTTGTAATAATATAAAATTATTTATTTATTTTAGCTATTTTTTTTATATATATACAAATATATCTGTGTTTGTATTTATATTTAATATCTTTTTTTATATAATTATTTACTAGTTTTATATAAGATAAAACATATGAAAGCATTAAAATTTTTATCTAAATAAATGTATAGAAATATAATAATTATAAAAAAGTTTATATAAATAATATATAATATAGATATAGCTATTAGAATTTTAATAAATGCATACCAGTACAGAGCTTTTCATATTTTATTGAGTAATTATATAAATATTAATAGAAAAGACAAAAAATTTAAAAATAGAAAATAATCCAATAATTTTTAAATATAAATGAATACAACTTCTTTAATTACATTAAATCATAGTATTTTCCTTTAGAATATAATAATGACTGATGTATTTATAACGCTATTAAAATAAGGTTAATAATCATTCAAATAAATTAATTATTATTTATATTTATATAAAAAAAATATAATAAAGAAGAAGAAGACGAGGAAAGACAATTATTGTAATGAATAAATATATATTTTTTCATTTATAATAATTATAATTTTTTATTTTTTAAAATAAAGTATTAATGGTATAATTACTAAATTATGTCTATTATCATTTTAAATTAATTGAATATAAAATAAATGACTATAGATGACTATAGGGCAAAACTATACATTCTTTATTCAAATATTTTTCTCATGACAAAAATAATAATAATATTTTTATTTTTATTTTAATGTTTAATGAATAAAAAATCAAATAAAAATAAAAATCTTTAAATTTTATTTATAAAATATAAAAATAATAATTAATTTTTTATTAAAAAAATAAATTAAAAAATAAAGTTTATTCTAGAAAAAAAAAACATAAAAGACTGATAAATAATATTAAATTTCTTTTTTTTTATAAAATATAAAAAAACTCAAACTTTACAAACATCTTAACCATACCTAACATAATCTCCTTCTTTTACTAACCATTGAGCCTCACCTTAAGTTTCAAAGAAAATAACAACAGTACTTCCCAGATTAAATTTTCCAACTTCAACTCCTTTAGGTAAAAAAATACCTCTCTATTTTTATTTGAAATTTTATTAAAGAAGCCACTAATCATCCAATTAATTAATTTAAGAAACCTCTTCATCATCAAATTCTCTCAAATCTTAATTATTCAATTTTAAATTTTAACCCATTTATTAATGATCGTTTTTTTAAAAACTTTTAATATTGACTTTTTGGAAATATTATACTTTGAAATTCCTATTAGTTTTTAATTCATCAAAATTTATATCCATAGAACCTACATTAGTAGCTCCTACATATACTTAGGTGAATTATCCGAAATCCCATTCTCCAAAAAGTGCTACACGCTCATTTTCTTCATAAACTCGTGGATTTTTTTATATATACAATTCTTTTACTGGTGCTAAATAACCAACTATATGATTTCTTTTTTTGATTAAAATATTAGCTGGTGAATGGTATCGGTGATAATCTCCTGGATTCAAATAAAATATTACTTAGTATATTTTTGATTTAGGATTTTTTAATTTAAAACTTTCAAATAATGCGCCTTCCATTACTACATCTTTGTTTCCAGTTAAAAATTCACCCAAATTATATTTTATATCCTTAACTAATAAATTAGAATTCCCATTTACTTCACTTATGTTTAATATTTTGGAATCTGCAGGGGATACAATTGTTCTTTTGTCGATGTTGATTTCTCTAGGCTTCACTTTTCGTGTAAAAAATTCATTAAAATTTTTATATTCATTATATGGTAATATCATATCTTCCTGTTTTACTTGATATACTTTTGCATATGTGGAATATAAAGGTCCTCGCATAAATTTTGGAATATATAATTATGCTATAAAACCTGAAAATCGACTTAAGTTTCTCAAAAAATTCAACTTTAATTTATATTCTTCTTGTCGGAAATAAGATGCTGTTCCTAAAGTTACTGTATATGCTAATCCTGTATAAATTATGACCTTAGTTGTGGAAACATTGAATTTTATTTCTATTTTTAGATAAATTTTACTTATAAATTTTTTTTATTTTACTGTATTTTTATCTTAGAATAGGTCTTTCTAATGGGCTTAGTGCATAAACACGAATATCTTACGTTAATTATAAAACCTTTTACATTTTAATCTATAATTATTATTATTAGTTTATATTTAAAAATAAAAAATATTTTTTAATTTAAGATATATTTTTGTTTTTTTATATTTTATTTTTTAAAATTTATTGAATTTATTTTGTAAAATAAAAAAGTATATCAATAATTTATGAAATATAATATATAAATTACTTTTTAAAAATTTTATTGAAATTTAAACTTTATATTCATAAAATTAGTAAAAATAATTTATAAATAAAGATACATATTAATTATAAAATTTAAACATTAAAATATTTTATAAAATAATTTAAGTTTAATTTATAAATAATAATTTTTTTTACATATAAATTATATTCGTTACTATATATTTAACTTCTGTAATTATATAATGATATTAGTTTTTTATATATATAATAATAATTTAATATTATTTAAATTGTTATTTTTATTATTTTTAGATTGATATTATAAAAATTTCTTTTTAAATTGAGTCTCTATTATGATATTCTAATATATAAACTTAATTAAGATACGATTATTATATATAAAATAATATAATTCTTTTACAAAAATTAATTTGCTTAAAAAAAATTATTAAAATTTTATAAATTTAATACATTGTCTCTTTTATTATACTAAAATCAATATATTTTATAGTATAAAATTTAAAAATATTATTTGTAATTTGGATACATAACATAATAATCAAAAATTTTAATTAAATTCAAATATTTAATTGATTTTATCAATGAATAAAATTGTAAATAGAAAACATTATTTTATTATTAAATTTTAAATTTAAACGTAACAAAAAAATTAATATGAATGAAACAGTATTAAAAAATATTTAAATTTAGGAATTATATGATTAACTAAAATAAAATTACACAGAACTAATGATAAATTATTAAAATGAATAAATAGAAAATGATAATTAAAAAAATAATTACATATTATCATAAAAAAAAGTAAAAATAATAATAAAAAAATATCTAAAAAATAAAAAGATTAATTAATTAAATGAAATAGTAACGCGTTAAAATGAAGAAATAATATCTTTACAAAACTAAATATAATTATAAAAAAGCTAAATAGGTATCCTTCACAGCCATTTTTCATAATAATTAACATTGGCATCATCTGAAAACGATAAAGAATTAACAATGCATAATGAAAATTTGATTTAATAATTAATTCATATATAAATATAATATAACTAATTGCAAAATTTATATTAACAAGAATACAAGTAAACAAAATTTAATAATAATTAAATAAAATTAAATGAAAATCTATTAATAAAGAACAATATTAAACTTGAAAAAGATTACAAAGTCGTTTAAAATGATAATTTTTTACTTAAAAATCAACTTTTAAAATAATAAAACGAATTTATTTAAAAAGAAAAAGAAATTATAAAATATTAAAAAGTAATCTATAATATAAAAATAAAAAAATTAAAAATAAAAATAAAAAATAGGAAATATGCAAATAATAAAAAGAAATCTAAAAATTAAATATAAAAATAACTTAATTAAAAACGCTGATTAATAATCAAAATAATGAAATTAATAATTTAAATGATAATTTTAATCAGCTAAAAGAATCTCTTTAAAATGAAAATCAATAATTTATAATATAAAATCAAAAATATGAAGAAAAAAATAATGAAACTATTAAATTATAATAAAATTTAATGTAAAGTATAATAAAAATATTAAAATAAATTATTTATAATTAAATTTAAAATAGTAATAAAGAAGACTATATCAAACAATGTGAAAAGCTAATATATTAATTAAAATTTTAAATAAACGATCAAAATAATTTAAACTATAGTAACATAGTGCATGATAAATAAATTTTAAACTCCAGCATGAATATTTAAAATAATAATTTATAGAATTTTAATAATGAAAAAAATTCTAATAATACTAGTTTTAACGCTATTAGAGAAAGTAAAGGATAAAAAATTGATAAATTGTTTAAAAAGTATGAAGAAATTAAAACAAGAACAAATAAAATTTTATGAATAATTTTTTATTTGATTTAAAATAAATATATTTGTATCTTTTTACGGCAAAAATTAAAGTTATTTATCTAAAACATATATAAAATTAAAATTTTTAGTTATTTATATAGTTTATAAAAATATATATAATTAATTTGTTATAAAAATATAAAATAAATTAGAAACTTAATAAAAATTTTATAATAAGGAAAAATATTCTTAAAGTAAGAAATAAAATTAAAGACAAAGAAAAATGTTTATTTATCATATTATAATTATAATAATTTATTTATTAAAAAATATAAAATCCTTTTAAACTTCATAATACTAAATTAAATAAAATATAATGTAATTTAAAAAAAAAATACTATATTTTCTACAAAATAAAAAAAGTTCCGAAAGAAATCTTTAATTTTAAAATTGCGAATAAATACCTAATTGTATAAATTGTATTTTAAATCCAATCGAATGTTAAGAATGTGATGAATTATATTATCTCCAGATTGATAGGAAAACCTGTTTATAATAATGTAATTTATCCGAATATATATTAAAATAAAAAAATTGCCAAAAATGTCCAGAAGGATGTGTTAAATGCGAAAATGATATAAAATGCTAAGAATGTAATAAAGATTATTATTTATTAGAGAATGGAAATTGTTAGTTAAAATGCTAAACCAAAAACTGCTTATTATGTGATGAAAATGATATTTGTACAAAATGTGAAAAAAATTTTTTCCTAAATATAATAAAATAATGCCAATATTAAATTTGCGATATTTCTAATTGTGAAGAATGTGATTATAAAATTAATCCTTAATGTATTAGATGTATAAAAGGATATAATCTTACGAACAGTTTTACCTGTTCAACAGTTAAATGCAAATAAAATCATCCTTTATGCTTCGAATGTTTAGATGAAAACATTTGTAAAACATGTGTTAAAGGTCTTTTTTTTCTAAAGAGTACGACAAATGCATTGAATGTAAAAATAACTGCATTTCTTGTAATGAAAACTAGTGTTTTGAATACAATTAATGTTAAAATGGTTTTTTTATGTCCATTAACGGGTGTAACCCTTGTTTTGAAAGGTGTGAAAAATGCACAGGACCTAATCAGAGTGATTGCTTGCAAACAACAGAAAACAAAAATTGCCATTATACTTGTTATGAATGCCTTGGAAATGCGTATAATTAGTGTATTTCCTGCAATGAAAATAGAGTTTTAACTGTTTATAATAGTAACAAATATGGAGAATGTAAATGCCCTTAAGGTACTTTTGATAAATTATAAAAAAGGTGCATTGGTAAAATTTTTTTTTTTTTAATATTTTATATTTTTATTATAGAAGGCTTTTTGGATAAAATATAAAAAAATTCTGTAATTGGATTTAGTGTCATTAGTGGAGTTACAGTACTTACTACTGGTATTTTCACTTCAAATCTTGGATTATTTTATTTGTTGAGCGAGTTTATGTAAACAATTGGTTAAATATAATATGTATTACTTTTTAAAAAAATATTTATTTTTAAATATAATTATTTTTTTTAAATAAAAAAAGATAAATATAAAAAAAGCGTATGACTTTGATGAAACAATGTATGTATTATAACATTTTAACTATAATATATTATTTGGAGTTGGAGATAATGTTAAACCAGACATAAGTTCAAATGATGAATATTACTATATAAATAATCGGAACAAGAACAAATAAAAAATATTTATAAAAGATTTAGATAAAATAACAAGTTTTTATTAAACTAATAATTTTTACGAAAATGCTCTTTCTTTAATTATAATAAATTGTTTGGGTATGTTTGGAATATTTATTCAAAATTTTTTATTAAAGATTCATTTTATATATAAAACCAAATTCTTGAGAAAATTACTTTAAAGTTTTTAGTTTTCAATTCCTTTTTTTATAATGGTATTTAGTTGTAGTGAAATGTGTATGACAATTTAATTGCAATTAAAATAATACAATTTAAACTAAAATGTTTTAGGTATAATTCTTGCCATAATATTTCTTTTATATATTTTAGTATGGATTATATTTATAATTAGCTTCTTAGGATGTGGAAACTATGTATCAAACAAGTATAAATAAGTTTTCCTTTTACTACAAAGTAAAAACATTTTTTAAAGAACATTTATCTCCTTAGTTTGCTTAAAAAAAATATTTATAAGTATTATTATTATTAATTTTTTTATTGAACCTTTGACAGTTTTGATAATTTAATTTTTAACTGAAATGCTAATTCTCATATATATATTTGTTATTTAGCCATATAATGGCTAAAATTAAACTATTATAGGTATTATTAATTAAGTACTTTATGGGTTATCTTATTTGTGCTTAATTATTAATGTTATTTATGAAAATACTGATAACGAAAGTAAAGCCAATCTCTATGTAGTCATCTTAGTTTTGATAATTTTTAATCTAATATATTAAACGATAGTTAGTGGAAATATCTTTTATAAAAAAATTATTAAAAAGTGTAAATTTTTTAAAAATGATATTTATATCAAATCTGATGCTAATAATATTATAATTCGAGATGAACTTAAACCTTTAGATGCTCAAAATATATAATTAGTTGATAATTTATAATGAAATATATTTTAAAATGTTTATTATAATTAATTTTATATTAGTATTAATTAATAATTATAATTTATATATAAAAATATATATAGAAAAGTGAAATGTATATATTTTTGTATAGTAAAATATTCAACTAGCGAATATACTCTTATTCTTATATATAAATGATTTAGCAATTGGAATTGATTTAAAGTTAGGACTAAAAAATCCTTTTTATTGATATTAAACAGAATTATTTCTATTAAGAATACCATAGTCCTTAACAGAGCTTTATTAAGAAGAACTATTTGAAGGAGAATTATTAAGGTTTAAATCAATAAAATATTATTTTGGCATAGAAAATATAATTTTTTAGTTTCAT